GCCTGCCAAAGGCTCCAAACAGCATCCCTATCTGCCACTGACACCTCAAGTACCATAGGGTCTGCTGGATCATATGGTCCAAGTGGTAGAGAAGCCTGCATAGCATCTGCACCCATTGAAAATTCTTCTGTCCCAGCCCCATTCAAAAGCTAGCAGCTTTCTGAGTCACTTGGTATATGGACCATAGTAACAGACCCAAGTGAGGAATGTGCTGTCTCCAGAATTCAAATGGACCACTAGACATAGTGTTTCTTTCTTGGTGGTGGGAGGGGCCAGGCGCAATAAGTTATCCTTTACTTTAGAAGGAATATGCCTGCATGCCATAGGAGTCATGCCACCATAAAATTCACTTTGCCTCTGCTGATGGTTACAAGTTATGCTGTGTGGACATTGCTTTGTCTATCTATTGTGCCTATGGTAATTTGAATGAAAGTGGCCCCCATAGGCTCATATATTTAAATACTTAGTCACCAGGGAGTGGCACTGTTTGAGAAGGAGTAGGAAATTGGCCTTATTGGAAGAAGTGTGTCACTGAGGGTGGGCTCTGAGGTTTCAAAAGCCCATGCCAGGCCCAGGCCCCCGCTCTGCCTGTGGTTCAGGATGTAGCTCTAGACTACTTCTCCAGCACCATACCTGCTGCCATGCCTGCTGTCTTGCTGCCTGCCTTGATGATAAGCAACCCCCAATTAAATGCTTTATAAGAGTTGCTGTGGTCATGGTGTCTCTTCACAGCAATAGAATTTATTACATGCCCATTATAATAACATGTTCATCTTGCCTTTAATGATTCAGTGACCCTCTCACCATTTGAATCTTACAGGACTAGTGAAGGGCATGTCTTCTGGGCCTTCCCATCCATCGTAGGGGGTTAGGTTTCACACAGTGTACCCACTCTTGCATTGCAATTTCCCTGGGCCTTCAAATCCCTTAAATCCCTTTATCAACACTTAAGCCAACAGATATCAGGCATCCCCAACTCCTTTTCTTTTGACAGACGCTTCAGGGGACTGTTCAAACAAACTTTGATTCTTTTTTAGCTGTGCAAACATCCATATTAAACCTAGAATCCCCACTCAGAGGGTCCATGTCAATAAATTCAGCCTGATCCAGTTTTATGTTCCTTCCATCATTATCCCTCACCCTTAAAATCCATTTTCATACATATCCCCTACTAGAGAAGGGGAGAGATAGAGAGTATAGCTTAGCAAAAGAGAGTTAGAGTATAAGAGTGAGTAGGTGTATTCATGCAGGACTGAGAGTGGAGAGTAACGGAATAGAGAATAAGAAAGCATGATGAGACTAGTAGGGTTATAAGAAGAATGAATAGCTGTGTGGAGGAAAGTGCTTGAACTGTAGGGAATTTAGGGTAGAAGAGGAGGCGAGGAGGATGCTAGCATGGACTTTGAAATGTGAAACAGGTGCTTGTGACACTGAGGGGGCCTGGACTTTGACATGATGATAGGCACCAGAGGTAGCCATATGTCCCTTCTGCCAGACAGATGGGAACCAGTTTCACAAGTTCCTGACAAATGCTAGCTTTTATCTAAACTCCAGAAATTATGCTCATTTCTGGATATTTGGAGTGGCTGTGGACTACCTGAGACCTAACATTCCCCGGACGTATGCTCTTTATTAGTAGTAGTGTAGCACACTTCTTTGTGAACTGCACTTTATCTCCCCTCGAGGAGCCTGCCTTGCCTCAACTCTGGGTATAGTCTAGAGGCAACTGTAGGTGTGCCCTGAGGGACATCAGTGTCATTTGCCTGGTGTCTCCAAGAAAATCACTGCTGGTTTGGCAGACAGTAAAGGATTAATTTCCTCAGTCAAAGGTGGAAAGGGGAATATTTCATGGGGTGGGGGTACATCTGCTGAGGTGGAGAGACTCCTTCCTTAGGTGAGATGATCCCTTGAGAACTTGAGGGTCCAAGTTCTCAGCTTCAGTAGGATCCCCCCACATATCTCCATCCCAAAATACAGAGTCCCATTCTTTACCAATTAACACCCTTTAACTGCCAGCACCTTCTGAGGCTGGGGCTTTAATTTAGTTGTAATTATAGCAACCTTATAATGAGGACTTCATTTCGATTTTCCACAGAGCAGCTTGAGCTCTGTGGCTGCTGGAGAAGATTCTTCCTGGGCAGACTTAGCTCCCTTTAGACTGTTCCATGGGCATCTGGAGTTGGTCAATTTTATCACTGCATCAATGTTGCCCTTCACTATTCTAAGATGCTAGGATCGACCAATTGGTGTTACTATTTTCCCACAAATTGTCAAAAGTTTTATATACAGAGTCACCAAGTCCATTGCCTCTTAAAATTGGTGAATCAGGATAATCAGATGGATTTGTCTCCTACAGTTTGTAATATAATCTACACCATGGGCTTTCAATGCTCCAAGCTTCCAGGAGAGGCTTCAGTAATGTAGGTGTCAGCAAATTGGAAAGCCTATTCCAGTCATTTAAAACATTCAGTGTTGCTGGGCTTGGTGGTGATCACCTTTACTCCCAGCACTCAGGAGGCAGAAACTAAAAAGTTTAGAAATACTACTGAAGAAGCCCTAAAAACCTCAAATTCAAGACCCTGTCCTCTACCAGTAAACAACAGGCTGCTTAAGACAGACAGGCCCTTGAGTACTTAATCCTGGCTTAGTAAAATAACAGGATCTTACCAGGATTAGTTAACCCCTGATCTGACTTTGTAAACTGCTTGTGAAACCCCTTCCCCAGTGACCCATTTGTCACCCCACCCAGGAGCCCGAGAAAATGCAGACCTCCAGGGCTATAGAAAACTGATTGGTCTATAAAGCTCGGGCTTAAATGATTTAAAATGATTGGTCTAAAAACTGTAAAATGGTTTAAATTTATTGGCCCGCACCACATGGGCTGCACTCGGCGTCCTCAGTCCTCTACCCCTGTGTGGCGCATGACTGTGGACCCCAGTGCACTTGGAATAAAAACGTTCTCTTGCAGTTTGCGCATCAAGACCGCTTCTCGTGAGTGATTTGGGTGTCCCCTTTCCTGAGTCAGAGCATGAAGGTCCACGCTCTGCGGGTCTCTCACTTCCATTTACAGTGGCCAACAGTTAACAGTCATAACTGGTTAACGTGTTGAAACAAGACTGTTGAATGCCCAGCCCTAAACAGGACATCTGTATCAGCATCTCCACGCCTCAGGAACCTGTGGACAAGACAAAAAGAATGTAACAGCTGGGGAGGGGTCTGTGAAACAGTTTCTAAACATGATATGGTTGCTGTACTCAGGGACTCATAGCACAACATGGAGCCCAACCACATTCAGTCATGGGTGGAGGAAAGGACTGCAAGACCCTTCTCTCCCTAAAGATCTGCTGATAGTTAATAGTTGCTGGGGATATCAAATTTTCTTGTTTTTAAAGATTTATAGTATATTTTTAAATTTATGTGTCTGTGTCTGCATGCATGTACCTGTGTTTATGGGCATGTATGTTTAGATGACTACGGAGGCCAGAAAGAGGTATTAGATCCTCTAGAACCTTAGTGTGTGCTGGGAAATGAACTTGGGTCCTATAAGAGCACCAAGGGCTCTCACTCCCCTAACCATTCTCACTATGTAGCCCTGGCTGGAACTCACTGTAGAGTTCCATAGACAGGTGGTACTCACAGAGAATCACAGCAATCCACCTGTCTCTGCTAGAATTAAAGGTGTGCCCCATCATGTTCGACAGAGTTTGTCTTCAGTGGTGTAGTCACTGGGAAATTGCCTTTGCTCCAGCAAATAACCACCCTATGCTCATGCAAGCATCTCTCTCTCTCTCTCTCTCTCTCTCTCTCTCTCACACACACACACACACACACACACACACACACACACCATGAAAATAAGAAGGTTCCAGGAACCCCTTGAGTGGTTCAAAACCACCAGTAATTCCAGCTCCTGAAAATGTGATGCCCTCTTTTGGCCTCCATGGGTAAGCAGGTATGTGACATATACATCCATGTAAATAAAAATAAACCTTTAAAAATAAAAAGGGCCTGCCAGATGGTTCAGTGGGTAAAGGCACTTACCGTCAAGCCTGATGAACTGAGTTCAAACCCCAGGATCCCCACATAGTAGGAGAGAAGCTGAGCTGTCCTATGTCCTTCAAGGTATGCTGAATGCACGGAAGCACATGCATATTCATACAATAATAAGTTTAAAAGTAAAGTTCAAAATAAAGATGGGCTGCATAGTTGAGGTCAGTTTGAATTAGAGACCATATCTTAAAAAACCCAAAACCATGAGATTCCATCTTCTAGCTAGGAAGAATATAGGAGAGTAATCAATCACTTAAGTGAGTCCTATGTAAATGGCAACTCATAAAAGTCGCAATCTAATCAATTAGGAGCATTCTCAATACAATAAATCCTAACACTCTAGAGGGCGCTAAGACGTATTAAAATGTGTACATCCACCCTTAGCAGAGTACTTTTATTTAAAAATCGATCTAAAAGACCAAGAAAAAAAGTAACAGGAATATGGGGGAAGCGCAAAAGTGGACATGGAGAGTGATGTAGGCTGCCTGTGTTGTAGGCAGGAGTTCTGATCTGGGGGTTCCACGGTTCAAGTCCTCGGAGATCTTGGAGAGTTGAGAAAGGGGGGTCGGGACGGAGAGGCCAAAGAAGCTTGCACTCCAGGGATCCAACTGCAGAGGTCCCCCTGCGTGCCGCCTAAGGCGCAAACCTGTAGGAAAGCTCCCCCATGTGGCCTTCCCAGGACCTGACCTCCCAACCCGTTCAGCATACTGCCCAGATACCTGCTCAGTCGCCTCGGATTCCGGACTCAGGCGGTTCCTCTCCAGGCCCCGGCCCTTGAAATCCCCGCGATCTCAGCAGAGGCGGGCCGCTCAAGCGGAGTTGGGGCGCAGCGAAACGCGGGTGGACGCGTGGGGCGGGACGGGAGGCGGGGCTGAGAGGGCGGGGCACGGCGGAGGGCGGGGCGGCTGGGAGGCGAGGGCGGGGCGCGGGCACCGATTGGCCGGCGCGGCGTTCCGAGGCCGTTTATGGCGGCTGGGCCGGGCCACCGCTCCAAAACAAAGGGCAGGCGGCCCGCCGGGCCGCGGCAGGAAGATGCCTCGCGCCGGGCTAGGGCGCCAACGGCCGGAACGCGTTCCGGGCCGCACCGGGACCGCCTGAAAGCCGAGCCCGCATCGACCGAGCCTGGGCCGAATGGGCGCTGCGGACCGGGCCGCGGACCGCCGAGCGGCCGTGAGTACGGGCGGGCCCCAGGCGGGTGCTCTGCGGAGACCTGAGGATCGACGGCTCCGGGAGGGCGGGGAAGCACCTGTTGGGCGCCGGCAGGCGGGGCGGGAGCCCGGAGGACGCGTTGACTTTTTGTTCTGATTGTCCGGTGTATTGGTATTTGGTTCATTTTGGTTTTGGAAGATAACACAAAACCCCGGTCTTTGGATTTTTTTTTAACACCCCCTTCTCCCTATTGTTTTTTCTCCTGCCTTAAAAAAAAAAAATGGGAAAGGAAATGAATACAGAAGATACCACCAATAAAGGAATGTTAATTAAGGGATGGCATTTTCGAGTTGCCTGTACAAAAGTAACTAAAAGGAATTGTCCTCATTGTTTACCACTTGTGGCTCAAGGCTTTATTCATGCAAATTGCCAACAGTAGCAACAAAATAAGATCTCCTCTCCTCAGTACCTGTATAAATGCACATCTTCGACGTCCCCATCATATGCTGAGCTTTAGGATGGAAAGCAGGCAGGCAGAAGTCTGTTTTGAATAAATAATAGACGTTGAAAATACCATTTTCCATCCCAAGAGCTTCAGTTGCCTTCTGAATATCCAAAAATGTATTTACCTTAATCTGATGTGTCTTGGCCAAGAATTGTACACACCTACCCCCAGCTCTGCTAAACTACACAGGTCCCAAGGCCAGGCTTACCTCCTCTGAGGAACCCTTCCAGGACCTTAGCAAACCACCCTCACTCATCACCAGTCACCAGGAGCTGTTCTCCTGTGACATCAAGATCAAGCTGGTCCTGTGGAAGTATGGCATGTGTATAGTGGGATAGAAATATATGCATACATACATATGTATTTGTGAAGATTTTCCTGCATGTATGTTTATCATGTGTGTACCTGGTGCCTACAGAAGCCAGAAGAAGATATCACATCCCCTAGAGCTGAAGTTACAGATGGTTGTGAGCCATCATGTGGATGCTGGGAATCCTACTAGGGTCATCCATAAGAGCAGCAAGTGCTCTAAAATACCAAGCCATATCTCCAGCTAGTGTTTGTGATCCAAAACAGGGGTGGTGTGTTTGAAGATTGCTACTACCAGGCTCTCTATGCCTTTGTGTTCCTGGCCAGTGCCCTATATAGTTACCATGTCTTCTTAAGGATTAGAGCAAATTCCTACCTCACCACAGACATGTATAGTCCAGACATGTGGAACACACACACACACATAACTGAACCATGTTAGTGACCAATCTGATTAATAGTCTGGTTTTTTGACTCAGGGCCTCACACATTCTAGACAGGTACTCTATCACTTACTCTACCCACAGCTCCAATTTTGTTAATAAATTTATTTTAGAATAACTTAAGAATGACAATATTATGAAAGAGCTTTTGGTGTGGCTCAGTGGCAGAACATGTGTTGAGCATGTGAGGCCCTTGGTTTCATACCTACTAAACATGCAAATATGAAGTTTCCAGCTGCCAGGCAGTAGGGACACACACCTTTAATTCAGCACTCAGGAGGCAGAAGCATGGATCTCTGTGAGTTCTAGGCCAGTCTGGTCTACTTAGTAAATCCCTGGTCAGTCAATCATAGCAACACTCTGGAGGGTGAGGAATCCAAGGTCATCCTTGGTTACATATGAAGTTTTAGGCCAACCTGGGCTATATGAGTCTGAAGACAACAAAACAAAGGGCTGGAGAAATGGCTTAGTGGTTAAGAGTGCAGACTGCTGTTGTTGAGGACCCACATGAGGCATCTCTGGCTCCAGGGTGTCTGATAGCCCTGACTTACCCACCGTGCACACACATAATTAAAAAGAAACCTTTAAAGTTCCCAGCTGTGATTCTCCTCTCCAGCTGTCTTCATAGCCCATATGCTATTTGAGGAAACCAGGCAGCTAGCTTTCTGCGGGCCTGTGTCTCCGGTCAGAGCTCTGCAGAGCTTTCTTATTGGTGGCAGAAGGGAAAAGAGATGTGCTGTGGCATCTTAGACAAGAAAAGCTTATTGTGCCAGGTGTTGGTGGCACACGCTTTTAGTCCCAGCACCTGGGAGGCAGAAGCAGGCAGATCTCTGTGAGTTCGAGGCCAACCTGGTCTACAGAGTGAATTCCAGGACAGCTTCCAAAGCCACAGAGAAACCCTGTCTCAAAAAACCAAAAAAGAAAGAAAGAAAACAAAAGGGAAAAAAAGCTTATTACACTCACATCAGCAGCCATTGTGCTTGGGCAGAAGGAGGTGGAAATGAGAACTTGAGGGAAGAGGTGTAGAGGTATCTAGAACATTGCTGTGGAGGGGCCAGACCCCCTGAGGTTCCTGAGAGAGTGGGAGGTAGGGGATCCACAGCAGGCTCGGGGTATTTTTTTCTTGGGCTCGATGTCTAGATGACTGTGCCTGAAGTGCGGGAGAAAGCTCAATTCTCATCCTGTGATTCAAATGGGAGAAACAATGGAGATGAAGAAAGGAATAGGTGCCGCCAGGGGCCAGCTAAGGTGATTCAGGAACCCAGGGGCCAGCTACGGTGACACTGGCTGTTTGAATCCTTCCAGATCTTTCCAAGCTTGTGAGTGTAGGTCTGTGCATTTGAGTAGTCAGTTTGTACAGGGCCAGCAAGATGACTAAGCAACAAAGACACCTGCTGTCAACTAACAATCTGAGTTTGGTCCCTGAGACCCACACAGTGGATGGAGAGACCACCTCAGCATTGTCATCTGACCACATGTGAGGTATACACACAAACAAAGAGACAAGAAAAGCAGGCAGCTTCAAGCCCCATCTTGGCAGTGTCTCTTGTACATGAGGGCATTTGCAGACTCTCAAAACTTGGGGTGTTTTCTAATTTGTTGTTATTACAAGAGACTGTTGAGACTGCTTTTATCCGATTGTTTTGCAAATGTAAACTCCCTCAATGGACCACTCCAGTATAGGGACATAAACCCAGGAGTGTTCTAGATGAAATCCCCCCACTCACCCCCCCCCCAAGGCCTCGCTACGTTACCCATGCTAGTCTTCCTGCCTCAATCTTCTGAGTAGCAACTCAAATTATAGACGGGCCCAAGTTCACCTGCTTGTTAGTGACAGTTTTAGAGCCTGTTGAAGCAATGCTGTGGAGAAGGCTGGGTGCAGTTAAAAGTATGGGGCAGGTGGTGTTGCACACCATTAATCCCAGCAGAGAAAAGAGGAGGCAGGCAGAGCCCTGTGAGTTCTAGGTCAACCTAGTCTACATAGCATGTTGCAGGCCAGCCACAGCTCCACTGTGAGATCCTGACAAAGAGAGCAAGGGGGGGGATATGGGGCCTCCTGGACAGGTACCAAGAGCCACTGGGCTTCCTTTTGTTCCTCAGCATGGATGTGATGAGCCTGATCCACAGACTCTCAAAATTAGTTATATGTGTTTATATTAGGTGAGAAACTTCTACAACCCAGCACACTGGTTTGCTAAGGAAAAGGGAAAAAGAAAAAACAAATGAACTGCAACAACAACAAAAATCTGTCTGTTGTGCAGGCAGATGTCCTCCACACTGAGGGAGGGACCTCAGTGTCCTTCCTGTGATGGTCACGATTCACCTGGCAGATTGGCCAGCATATGCTTTCCAGTCACTTCACAGGGGCTCCTAATTGCTCCTTAGATCTTGCAGTGTTTCCCACTTTGTAGCTTCTGATTGAAAGCCAATTAAGTTGACACATGAGCACCATGTCAGGGATGGCTGCTGTCAGGTCTGTTGCTGGGCACAGATTAGAGCTGTGAGATGACCTGAAGTTTGTATGAGGCAGCTGCCCTTGAAGGGGTAAAGGGGAATGTAATGAATAGTCCAAGTCCATCAGGAGCTGCTCTGGGCACTGTGACAGACACATAGGACTGTTAGACAGGAATTAATGGAAGCGCTGTGGAAATAAAAAAGGCAGGCATCTGCAAGAACAGAACTATTCCTTTAACCAGAACGGAAGGGCTGCCATCTCTAGAAGTTCGGACTGTGCATGTGTGGTGTGGGGCTTTACAGGATGAAAAGGGGGAGCTTTGGGGATGTAATTGACCATGTACAGGTCAGTTCCCTGCAATCTGGAATTGATAGACACCAACGGTTTTGGTCTGGGGTCTCCTGACCAGGTGCCATCAGTCTAGTCAGCCTTCCTGTCTCAGCCCCTGAGGTTTGTGGGTCATTAACCCTTCACAGCCACTTCAGGTAAGGACACCTTGAGAGTAGGGTTACCTGGTGAAGGCCTCTGCCATAGTCTGCTTTCTGTTGTGATAAACAATATGACCAAAAACAGCTTGAGCAGGAAAGGGTATGTTGCATCTTACACTTCCAGGTCATACTCCATCACTGAGGGAAGCCAAGACAATACCTACTGAAGCATGCTGCATACTGGCTTTCTCACTCTCTGGCTCATGCTCAGCTAGCTTTTACCTATTTCTTTTATGTGTATGGGTGTTATGCCTGCATGTTTGTCTATGCACATATGTGTAGGTTCTGTGAAGGCCAGAAGAGAGCATCAGATCCCCTGGAACTGGAGTTACAGGCTAATGTGTACCCAGAAACTGAACCCAGGTCCTCTGCAAGAGCAGCAAATGTACCATCTCTTTAGCCCTCTGCTTGAAATATTTAATTTATACTGGACCCAAGCTAAACAGTAAGCTAAGGACCTTGAATATATATAGATGAGACTACTTCCTGACCTGTTAAAGCTCTGATGTTTTGGAGGACTGTGATCCTCAACCTGGGGATATGAGTCAGAGAGGGGTCCATGCAATGCCCAGCCACCCACCAGCCCTTCAGAAGCTGCATTTTCCTTGGTGAATCTCATGGCCACCTTGTCTGTCTGTCTGTCTGTCTTTGCATATGAATGCAGGTACTTAGAGAAGCCAGAGGCCTCAGTGTTAAGATCAGTTTTCCTGCCAGCCTGGTCCCACAGCCAATGTCAGCTCCAAATAACACACAGAGACACTGTATTAGATATAAAACTGTTGGCCAGTTACTTGCGTTTCTTATTGGCTAGCTCTGTCTTA